ATAACATTCTTGGAATGGAAAGGTTAATTGTAGAAATACAAGTTTTGTTTTCTTGCATTCACCTTCCTCTACAGCAAAATGAAAATGCACTTAAGTACATATGGACCTATTATTTTCAGTGCCGGGAAGAGAGCGTCATCTTGGATGCTTGAAGTCCAGAACATGCACAATCCAATTTAAAAATAAGATGTGATAACTGAGTGGTATGACAAACAAAGCAGAGAAGACAGGAATTGCATTAGAAGATAAGCTAAGGCTAAAGCGGAAATTCAATATTAAATTGATGGGCAACAGCCAGGAAGTCCTTGCATTAGGGAGTCTGCAGTAGCATTAACTAAATGAAAAGCATTTCCTTTCCTGTCTCCCTTACTGATACTGTGAAGAGCATTTGATATGGAACATGGCAGAGTTAATACTTGCTCAGAAGTGTCTGCCTGAAACTCCTAACCCTTATCTTCTTAATACATAATCACATTAGGTTTAATTATTGATGAATCTTGGACCAGTACAAAGCTAATATTGCTCCATACAGCCACAGCAAACTCACTGCAGGATTGGCAGCTTATCTGAAAAATCAATCATTCTTTCTCAAGAACTATCGTAAGTCTGTGAGATTCTACACTGTCTTTAAAATTCTGACCATGTAGTTTGACAGTTCATAACAAATAACTCTAGGCTACTGCAGAAGCAAATCAGCAAAGGGTGATAGATCTTACATCCTGCCTTCTACTGCCAGACACCACTTTTTGTAGTTTCATTCAAGATGAATTGGGCCCAAGTAAAATGACAGTCTAGAAGAGCCCATGAAAACACGTTAGTCCTAAAATGGCCCCAGGTGCCCTGAAGGAGGCCCTGGCACATGACAGACTTCAGACTTGTCTTCTGATGCTGACTGTGGTCCAGATCAAGCCCAGCCACAAAATAATCCATCCCTGAAGTTGCCTTCTCTCAATGAACTAAACTCCTATCTTCTTTTCTGTTTCATCCTTTTAAGCATTTCCATAAGCCTGACTGCCTTTGTGTGTCAGTCAGCACTGAGATGGCTAGAATTGAGTATGGCTGAGCTCTTTTCTGTCCAGTATGGAGCTGGGTGAGTCAAATTTTAGCGAATTGTAGAAATGCAAAATTGAAGGTTCTCACATTGAAGGAGTCTATCAGTCTTTTCTAGTCTGTTCCCCCTCTACTTGCTTTTGCCGTATCCTTGCCAGAGGAGCAGTACCATACTCCTTGCTATGAAGTGCGTTTGCTCCTTTGCTGCTAACAAAAGCTGCAATGATGAAGTGACAATTTTAAAAATTGTGCTTCCTATTCATTTGTATGTTGGACTCCGAGCAATGAAAATAGATTAGTAAGTTCAAAATCACCTTCACTTCCTGCCTGTCATACTAACAAGAAGCTGTAGCATGGGGATTAGCTCCTATGGAAGGTTATTCCTTTAAAATAAACAACTTATATCACATTTAAGAGAGGTTCATAATAATGATAATAAGAGAGGTTATCATAATAAGATAGGTATCATAACAACAGAGAGGTTGTGGGGTCTCCTCTGGAGATTTTCAAAGCCCGCTTGGACACAATCCTGTGCCATGTGCTCTAGGTGACCCTGTGAGTGCAGGGGAGTTGGACTAGATGATCTCTAAAGATCCCTTCCAACCTGAAGGATTCTATGAACTGAAATRCGAAAGGACACTGTTGCAATACCTGGCTGGGTTTTACAAAGYTGCTGTTCAGGGTTCAAGCTTCCCTAAGAGCTGTGTCTATAGACCAGAGGGAAGTCTGGGGACAGCATGTTACTGGCAGGTATCACTTGCTTTAAACTATCTAGCAAGAAAGAAGCCCCATAGGCATCAATACGCGCCTGCCACCTGAGCAAGCAACATAGTCCCACACCGCTTTGTATAGCCAAGGTGAGATTCATCTCACCTAACCTAGACCTCTAAAAAATAATAATCCAATCCATCTTCTATTCCAGTCCATGGTGAAAAAGGTAAGCATTTTTGGAGACTGATTCATCTGTAGGTCATTTGGGTGAGCTGAATTACACCTGGTACAGATATTTGTACACACATCAGGTATACTAGAGCTACCACAGATGTCACTCAATATGTTACAGTCAACGTCCAATTATAGCACAAATGTTCCCAGAACATTTTGCCACCTCCCAGGACTGCCTGTTTGGGTTCTCTCTCGGCGCAAGTACTTGTGCTTCTTCAGTGAATTGGGTTTGAGCCAAAGGTCTCTCAGCTCAGAATGTTCTCAGTTTCTTTCAACTTTCCCACCTTTATGATCTAATGTTCATATCCCAAAATGCACTACAGTATATACCTATGATCAAAAATTCTGCAAGATCACRCCCTAATTTTCAACTTTGCCATTAGACTTATGGGTATTTTATATTGCAGTATCAACAGGTGTGCATCTTTTATAAAAGCTTTGTTTTAATATCTAGTTGTTGGGAACAGATGAAAGGTTTCTTCTGTCCATAAACTCTCCTTTGGTCTATAGATATACACTGTAGCTATATAAAGACACAGTGAATAATTACTTGGCTTTAACCTGCCTCCAAGGCTGCAGAATGGCAAAGAGAACAGGTAATATATGCCAGGAGAAGGCTGTAAAATCCCTAATTAAAACAGTGAGGCAAGGTAATTTTTTTTTGAAAGCATATTGCAGTCTGGCTGTCTAACACACCATTTGAAATATGAGGCTTCTCTCCTTGCTTTTCAAAGTTCAAAACAATTTGATGATGCTGGCACCATCTGATTCTTCAAGTTAATGTATTGAGTATTGACACAAGTCTCTGGCTAATTCTCAGTTGGTAAAGAGACTGAGAAATKCACCTTAGGATGGGAGACAGCCTGTGAAAGGAAAGGCATGCTGAAGAAAATAAAGGAGAGAGTCGAGAGAAAATGAGTGAAAGCAAAGTGTAAGAGAAAACAACTGGGAAAASAGGTCTCCTAAGTGCCTTAAAAATTCTTTCCTCTACCCCAAAATGTTCTCACCACCGAAGCCCTGACACTCAATGCTGCAGTTAGAACACAGAGTCATGGATTCTGGCTCATGTTTTTAATTCTACACAAAGCTAGGGAATAGCAGAGACTTTGGCTCCTTATTTACTCTGCCAGATTCCTTACCTATGAAATACTAGCAACACCCAATGCTCTGAAACATTCAATGTCCTGAAACATTGCAAATGGATAAGTATAGCAAGTCATTTACAGACATTCCAGTTTTGAAATACTATTTTCATAGCTGGCTTTTTTAAATGCATATTTAAGTGTGTGTGTGTGTGTATAAATATATATATATACATATATATATATATATATATATATATATACACATACTTATCAAGCCAAGGGATTCTGTCATCCCATGGACATTGTGCATAACTAATAACACATGTAAAGCACAGTTGCAAAAGTCATCTAGGAAATGCTAGAGTGTTTCAAGGCCTGTTTTTTTCCTAGAGGTCTGAGGAACTTGTATTCTAGCTTGTTGTTCTGCTGTTTTAATCTCATAAACTAAGATACACATATATTTAGCCCTCTGAGTTTACATACGCTTCCAGTAACACACACACGTACTCTTCCAGAAGTGCAAATAATRGGTTGTGGTTTCTCCTTTCATGCAGCTTCAAAAGTAAAGGTAAAATCTTATTTGCAACATTACCATTAATACACATGCATGTTTGATGAGCAGTGTCTGATACAAACAMGAAAACATTGCAAAGTAGGTGCCTATTTCTTACTAAATATTGCAGCTTTCTAACAGGCTGAAAATTTAGAAAAGGATTGACTAATAAATTAATTAGATGATCCAAACTGCATTGGCTGTAAACTCTGTTAAGACAGGCCCTGCACTGGAAGTTAGGAGTCTGGGTTCTGTTTCTAGTTTTGCCTTTGGCCTGGTATGATTCAGAAACAGCATTTCTTTTTATTCTGCCTCATGGGAATAGTCGTACTGCATTTCACTGAAAGATATGTAGAAGTCTCCTTGTGAAATATTCAAGATCATTTAAACAATGTTAGCAGTTTGACTATATTAATAATGTGGCCATTTTCAAATCAAGCAYTGAGCAGACTGCATATTTATATTGCAGTTGAATCTATTTTGCAATGAAAATACAAAATTAGGAATTCTGAGAAATGACCTTTGTCAAATAAAATTTGCATTTTCTCTTAAAGGTACAAACTAGTTTAACATTGCYCTTCAAGAGCAGAAGACAGAGATGTCTTCTTCTCAATGAAGTTTGGCATTAATTTGGCCAAGCTACGTCTTAATATTTTTGTTTGGCTTTCGCCAGGCAGCAGTTCTAAAGGAAGGGTGGTGTACTGAAGTATTTTTGCACACTATCTGCATGCATAGGTAACTTACTGATGAGGAAAGCTGGAGGAAAGGTCCTACTGAAGTGCTTCTGATCTCTTACTTTAATCTAAGAGAAGATCTAAATTGAGAGGGGYTTATTTGGCCCCAGGAAAAGACAGRACTTATCAGCATACAGTATCCCCTGGGCACCCTTCAACCAGGCATCTAGCAAAGAACAAAAATCAGAGGTCTTTTTGTGAGGAAGACTCACATGTGTATTAGGGCAAGGTATATTAGGCCAAAAGCCATGTTGTGCAGAAATCATCATATATATTTAGGTCCAGGTAGGTCTGGAGACARTACGACTACACCATCACAGCCAAGGGGCAGAACAATCTCCTGACAGACACCAGCAGGAGCTGTGCAGAGCCGGCTGGTAGGTCTCTGTACCATTTTTACCTGCAGTGCAGACAAAAGTGTAAAAATAGATGGTTTCATGGGGTGAGCTTCAGTGTCTGACCCAACTTATTTGCTCTTCCTCTCACAAAAAATATATATATGTGTGTGTTCACTTGCACCACCTATTTCTCTGGATGCTGCCAGGTGTTTTGTGAGGACAAAGCTGAGCAACCTGGGAAAATTGCAGGGAGACACCTAACTCCTTGGGAAGGAAAAAATCTGCGCCTCTAGATATGCACAAGTCTGGTAACTACTCTCTCAAACTCAGCAAAAAGCAGGCAAAATCCAGTGTTAGAAGGATCCAGCCCCAAAGGAAGCGCCTTCACTGCAGGAGGCACAGGCTGCCTCTCGCTCCGGCAGCCCCGCTGCCCCGCTGGAGCACGAGGGCCGCCCGCCCGCGGGGCTGCAAGCGCTGCCGGGGCGGCCTCGCCGAGGCAGAGCCGCCCGGGCGCTGTGCGGAGGCGGCGGCGGCCACAGCGCGCACCGCCCCGCACCGCCCCGCACCGCGCGGGACGTGCCGCGCCGCGCCGCTCTCCTCTCCGCGCTCCCGCCGCGGGGCCCCGCGCGCTGCGGGACGCTCCGCGGGGCGGCCGCGGCTCCTCCTCCCGCGCCGCTCGGCCGCGCGCTCGGGGCAGCGGCGCCGGGGCGGGCGCCGCGCCATGCACGGCGGCAACGGCACGGGCCCGGGCGCGGGCGCGGGCMCGGCGAGCCGCCCGCAGCCCGCGGCGGCCGAGCAGGAGGCGCCCGGCGAGCGGCCGCCCTTCAGCGCGGGCACCTACGAGCTGCTGGCGCTGCTCATCGCCACCATCGGCGTGCTCGGCTTGTGCAACAACTTGCTGGTGCTCGTGCTCTACTACAAGTTCAAGCGGCTCCGCACGCCCACCAACCTCTTCCTCGTCAACATCAGCCTCAGCGACCTGCTCGTGTCCGTCTTCGGCGTGAGCCTCACCTTCATGTCCTGCCTGCGCAGCCGCTGGGTGTGGGACGCGGCCGGCTGCGTCTGGGACGGCTTCAGCAACAGCCTCTTCGGTGCGTGCTCCCGCTTCCCTTCCCTTTCCCAGCGGCTCCCTGCTCAGCGCCCCGCGCTCGCTCCCTTTGCGCTGCCCGGCGCCCCGCACCGCGCCCTGTCCCTCCGGATCCGCGCGCCGTGTCCCTTCCCCCGCGGGCTGCTCCCGGAGCCGCCCTCGCTCCCAGCGCCCGGGCTCCTGGCCGGGCCAGGAGGCGCCTTCCCCTGGGGAGCTCCTGGCCTGGCRTGCCGTTGGTTCGTGTGTTTGCTTGTTTGTGTGTTTGTTTGTTTTCAAGCCGTGAGGAAGGAATGTGCTGCTACTGTTGCCGCTTGTGAAAAACTACAAAGTCTATAGTGCCATTTCTTCTGAAATTCTTACACATCCTTAGCAGAAATCTGTGAAAGGACAGTATACATCCAGATATATGCGTGCAGGCTGTTGAAGGGTGTATAGTTTTGTTTTTAATGACAAATCATGTAAAAATGTTACTTTTTTTTTTTTGTAATGGTGGAAGTTTTGCAGGTCAGTAGCCAGATTTAAAGTTTGTGTCGGACTTTTATAAGGCTGTGCCAGAAAAAAAATGGATCTCTGCACATGCAAAAAAAAAAAAAAAAAAGGCACACTAGAAGTTGTCTTTGCTAAGATAATTCAAGGCAAGCCCTCTGTAGGCTTTGCAGCTTTCCTGCATATTTTTTATTTTGTGTTTGTTTTATTATGTGGCACTAATGTGCCCTTGGGCAGCTGGTAGAAAGCTCCATGGTCCCTGGTGATAGATTTGACTGCTGCTAAACAGTGCAGCAAAGTGTCTTTGGAAGGCTTGGTGGATGCAGGATGCATTTAGACGTTTGTGCAAGGTTTAGTGTAGCATTTAGGGTGCACAGTTCTCTAATTGCCTGGTGTTAACAGGGAAAGGTACTGGTCTAAATTAACACTGTATTAGTCATCCCAGTCAAAAATTTAAGAAACTGAAGCATCTTCCAATGTCTATCTTGTACCCAGATTCTTGTGGACAGTTGAACATTAAGCTTACATAGAAGTTCCTTTTTTTTTTTTTTTTTTTTTTTTAAGTATGGTCGTGCTCCTGTATTCTCTAATATGCCCTTGTCTTTGAAGACAGCATTTTATACAGGGTCAAATTTTGGTTAGTAGGGGTCATATGAAAACAAGATTATATTCTTCAAAGATGAAACAAATGGAAATAATGAGATATAAATTACGAAGCGAAATGCGTGATCATACACTGCTTTCATTTCTTGCTTTGGGAGTATCACATACTTTGTCATTATAGATATGTTCAGTATTTATTAAACAGAGCTTATTTCCAAAGAAATATAGGCAATTTGTGAGCCTTGTCTACAAAATGATACAAAAGGATCCAATTTCCAGGTAACATCATTGGGCCACAGCATTGTATCCTTTTCTTGGTGCCATGATTTCTGATTCCACAGTGTGTTTCAGTGAGAAGAATTCTCACTGAGGTATTAGAGGAGTACATATTTGTATGTAAAAACTGTCACATGAACATAAAGCTTCAATACATCACCCTACTCCTCAAGAACATYTGATCCCTGAATTTACTTTCTTCAGCAGCTATGTAAAGGAATTGAAATTATCTCCCTGGTTATTATGCTGTGAAGCTAACCCAAAAAGTTAAATGTAATTTTTAAATTTTCCTTTTGTACAGACTTTTGTTTCCACATTCTCAATAGGAAATAAAAAGATTGTTCTTTTTTCTGCGTGTGAGGAAAAGTATTTTCCTACCAGGACACACTGGTACAGGAAGAAAATAGTGGCTCGGAGGCAGCATTATAATCTTTCGCATTTGGACCATTGCCACCTTGGTTTCTATTTTGATTTTTTCTAATGTCTATGAAGAAGATTTTCTTTTTTTTTCTTTTTAAGAGGGCAGCAGGGAGAGCAAGAGACCACTGATTGAAATTTTATTCAGAGTAACACCAGATACTATATTCACAAATACAGCCCTGTATTATAAAAGCTGATGTCAGCTATCATGGCAGAAAAAAAAACAGAAATGTAGTGATATTGCATTGTTGCAGGTCATATGCATGTTGAGTGGTAGTGACTCAACCTGCAGCTCTCACTTAGTCTTTAAGAACTTTGGGAAATAAAAAATGCTTTCAGCAGTGAGAAGTGCAAAATGGACAGCTCTTAAAAGTAAGCAGCTCATTAACCTGTGGAATAGGGACCTATCCTCAGTCTCAGTATAATACAGGCTCAGTATAATTCAGTGACCTAATAAAGATATTTCTAGAATAAAGTGATGTAGTTCTGTTACCACGGATATGGAGTCTGTTAAATCCTAACATTTACTGCTGTGGATATTTGTCTGCTGGGATCAGACTCAGTTCAACTCATTTTGTACTGAGTGACCCAAACTTGTTTAGTTGCATCTTTGTAATTACGTTCTTGAGTATGAACATGGACATTGCTCTGTGGCTTTTCCCTGTTGGTCCTCCAGCCCTGAAGGCTCTCTGAGTTCAAGTGTGATAATCCCGATGCACTTTGCAGAGAAGAACAACACCCACCCCCACCGTACAAATTTTCTCAGTTGTTCATCTTTTCCTAGAGCTAATGTATAAATGAGATATTCGAATGAATCTATTGAATTTGAGGTGTATAAGGTTCAAAAACATCACTTTACCTTGTGCAAGCACTGCAGCTTATGCCAAGAACTTGATTTCCTGTTGACTTGCAAACCCTCTCCTGGCTCTGCTTACAGATGTATTCCCCTCATAAACTTAGGCTGTCTATATGTTAATGATGGATGGAGACCATTTTAAACAGTGGATTTATGGTCATCTTGGATATCTTCTCAGGACTTAACTCTTGGGCAAGATAGCTTTGTATCTATAGCCTTCCCTTCTTCCCCCAATGTAAAGAATAAATACTAGAACTCAGTAGACTAATAGGTGTCTATCCTGATAAAATAAAATAATTTCTTCAATTAAGAGATATTTTTAAGCTATGAGGTTATATTTCCATGTTACTGTGAGGTCAACTCTATACAGGTCCCACTGAGCCTGCCACCCATTCTTTATGTAACAGCTTGTACCTCTTTTCCTGTCTGTAGTAGTTGGTCTTGTTGCAGGTAATACAGATAACTGTGCAATCCCTTTATCTGAATTACAACTTCCATTTAATACCACTTCCAGTGCAACTTCCTCCAGAACACCTGGAGGGTTTCTCTGTATCCCATAGATTTTGGTTACAAGTGCTAGAGAAGATGCCTGACAGCTAAACACACTCAACTGATCTTTATTAACAGATAAAGATAGGAAAAAAGAGAGAGATAAACAAGGATTTGTTTGATTACAGACTAGAGGCTCAGAACGTAATAAACCATATGTGCATCTGCTAGCTTTTTGCAGAGGAACAAGATTTTTAAATCACAATGATTGTCACAGAGTTTGACATCTGCAAAAGAAGCATGTATCTTTGATCAAACATAGGCAGATCTGTAGCTGTCGGCCTTAGTGCCTTCTGTAGATTGGAATAAGTCCCAAGGGTTCAGAAGTAAGCTCATCTGATCCTGTAGAACATATATACCCCTTAAGCAGAAATCACATCAGCTACAAGTAATGACAATTACATCAGCTGCCAGTAGTGTTCCCCTAACATTTTCTGATATGTTTAATGAAGCAGGGGATAAAATGAATGAAAAAGTGGTTGATGACAGGAATGGTCTTGAAGAAGAGGGATCAAAATTGTTCATCTGAGGCCATCCCTTGGTGGGAGGTTGCCTGGTAAGGACGTAGTCAAGGGTAGGCTTTACATTACATTTACATTTACATTTACTTAATTGCAATTGAAGGAATGGCATAACTAAACTGTTGAGTAGAGACCTCTGTCATTATTAACTGTGACCTGTACTAGTAAAGATAAATAAAATTCACCAACTGTTAATGTCAAACTGATCAGAGGTATAATAGCACTTTTGAACAAGTCACAATGCCTATGCAGCAGGTAGCTCTTGAGGAACAACCAAGTAAATGTTAAGATCCAGAGACCTTAAACTCCTTCCAAGCGTAAGAACAGGAGAAAGAATGGAGAAACATTTGGAAGATATTTTAGGGATTTTTATTTCCTGTAGAATTCTTCAGAGTGCAGAAATGTCAGAGCACCTGATTACAATGGAAGAGCTTCATTCAGGGCTGAGAGGAAAAATTCACAGAGGATTTTCTCTTGTTCTTGTTTTTAAACAAGTTGATTTTTTCCCCAAGAATGCTGAAGTAAGGATTAGTTACCAAAGATTATCCTGTGGTCCTGGCTTCAGTTACAATCTAGGCAAACAAAAACATTTAACTATGTATAATTATTCACTACGTCATCTAAGGCTCTTTTCTATACACAGTGAAAGAATTATGCCCCTTACTATCCTCTTGCACTACCATGTATATTATACACACCGRCTTAATCTCACTAAGAGCATTAACTAAGGTTACCCTTCAGTTTTAGGATCTTGTTTTACCGATAGCAGGAGACTCGCTGTGCTTCCAGCTTTAGGAGTTAATCCCCTGAAGGGCTGAACTTGTAAGAGGTACTTAATCTTACTCTAGCTTTATAGTAGAGCAATGTTCATATATTTGAAGTTTGTTGTGTCCAGTAAAAATGATTCCCATCATTTCATTTCTATTCCCATAGATTTGACTGCATATGCTAAAATTTGTTGAGAATTTAGAAGTGATACATAGCTGTATATTATAACCTTTCTTTGCTGAATTTAAACAGGTTGGATATTTATTACTAGGGTAATATAAAGCATAGTATACTAGTACTTTGTTCTTTTGCTATTGACAAGAGTTTGCTTCTAGTAAATGTTTGTTATGTAGCTTTTCAAAGGTGGAAGGGGTGATAGGGACTGAAGAAGAGGTTCTTTCCCTCTTTGTGATTCAAGATGCTATTCAGTAAATACTAGTACAGCACTTGGACACAGGTCAAGGATCCACTGGCATAAAGGATTATATGCCCTTTGACAGAAATTTTGGTCTGTATCAGACCTGA